CTCTAAAATTACAGACTCAATCTAATTAAAACAGAGTTATTACACTACAAAACAAGTCTTCAATACTCTAAGTCTTTGAGTTCTTGAATCATCATCAAAATCATCAATCTTCATGTTCATCAAGTGCAACATCAAGTCCTTGAATGTTCAACAATAATTATATCAACTTTTTACCACCTAACATTTGTTTACCTTTTTTGTTCTTCATTCCCCATTTCCTTGATTGAATCCTTTTTTTAATTATGATGTCTACAGATTTGGGGAAATATGATGAAGTACTATGAGATGAGAGGTAAGGAATTATTGGATGGTAATGTACTTACAGCTGCTGACCTCTGTGAATGGATGAGAGGAAAGAATAATAATGAAGCTTCCATAGTTGGTGTTGGCTTGCCTTGTTATTCACTCCTACAAGCACTTATGTTCTCCATCAAAGCCAATTCAAGTGGTGTATTGCTACTTGAGGACTTTGAGATTACCTATTTTAACAAGCCAAAGGATAAGTTGTTGGATTGGTTCTTCAATCCTATGATGGTTCTGAAGGAACAGATAAGGGTCATCAAATTGGGGGAAGCTGAATTGAGATACTTGGAAAAAGTAGTTCTCTTTGGATGCAACAAGCAACGACAGGAGGCTTGGAATAACGGTGGATTAATGATACCTGATCCCATGGTACCAATCTCTGCATTTGTTGTGTGGATAAAATGATGTTGAGGTGTGGTTTCACTCTTTGAAGTATTAATGCTTAGATAAAAATAGCAAATCTTAATGTACATGATAATCTATTCTAGTATGATAACTAGTGAATATATTGATCAAGTTCTTAATGAATTTGACTGATGGGTGTGCAATGATGAACACATTAATTGTTAGGATAATTGGAATGATAAGAGGAGTATCAAAGCTGCCCACATACAGAAGCAAGTTTCATCAGATTGTTAAAGCTTTGATTGCTCATTCCCTGGAGAAAGACCTTTCAAGAAAGGCTTTAGCTATTCATTTAGGGGATGCAGTAGATATTTCTAAAAAGGCCTAGATTTGGAGAAAGAACCTTCTAGAAGATCCAGTAGGTCTACAGTGTCAGTTGCCTTAGATGAAAATGTTTGACTTGCTTTATTCTATAAATTCATTATAAATTCATTTAGATTGTTTGATAAATTGGTGGAACCAATATATTGTTTCGAACAATGATTTTTCATTGTATAATCCCCCAGTATGGTTGTTAGTGTGTTGATTGATCTTGTAACAAGTTTGGTAATTACCTACGGACATATTCCGTAGGTAATTACCCATGGACACAATCCGTATGTAATTATCCACGGACACAATCTGTAGGTAATTACCCACAGACACAATCCATAGGTAATTACCCATGGACGACATTTCCTACGGAGATTAATTCAAAAGGTAAATTACCTACGACTATATTACCTACAATTTTTTTCCCGTAGGAAATCTGTAGGTAAAAGGACATTACCTACATATTTTTACCATTACCTACGTATTTTTGTCATAGATAATACAGTTTTTTTTGTAGTGATCCATGAGCCAAATGTCATCAGATTTGGATATATGGATCAATTCAGTTGGAAAAAATAAGGGAATAATATTTGGTCTTGGATCTCTAGGTAAAATGTTAATCATATCTTCAATTAAGCAGTCAAATTTTGAAAATGTTGATGCTTTAAGGAGTCAAATTCAAACCTTAAATAAATCATTACATAGGCAAGAACAAGAAAAACGAGAAATGAGACAAGAGTTGCAAAGACAAAAAAAAAGATAAGCTAAAAATGAAAAAAAAAAGTTTACTGAAACTAAGAATCAAGTAGCAGTCTTAATGCAACACTTAGGGTTTGTTGCATCTTCTTCCTATCCATCTTCATCATCTCAACATAGTAATGAAAATGATGATAATAAAGACAGTGATCATATTGAAGATGGTAATATTTAAAATTTTATTCTTGAGTTATTATAACACTTAACTGAATTATTGAAGGTGATAATGAAATTCCAAGGAATTAAAGATATGATGTGATTTTGACAACAACAATTATTTGCTTTGATGCATTTTTTTACAATGTTTTAAAGTTTTGAATTATTTATATTGTTATGACGCTTTAATGTTCACTAGTGGAAAAATATGATTCTATGACGACATTTTATCACGGTTGTAATCCACCCGTCATAGTATATATGGCGGTGGCATTTTTGTAATAATATTATGAACTTTTTATGTCGATTGTTATATAACCGACATGGTATGTGGGCAAATTCACTTTTTATGTCGGTTAAATTTTAACTCGATATAGAAAGTACTTTCTATGTCGGTTAAAATTTAACCGACATAAATAGTGAACTTTTTATGTCGGTTAAAATTTAACCGACATAGAAAGTGAAATTTTTATGTCGATTAAATTTTAACCGACATAGAAAGTGTATATTAAATAAAAAAAATTAAATATATAAGTATATAAATATTTATATATCAAAATATATAAATATATTTGTATTTATATATTTTGTATATAAATATAATTTATTTGTAAGTTATGTATCGGAAATTCGTAGTAGTTTAGTGGTTGGAGTATCAATCTCCAACTCTAAGGTATTGAGTTCGAATCTTGCTAGACACAAATCTCTTAAACACTTAATAAAATAATATATTATAAAGTATAATAAAAATATAATATGAATAAATAAATAAAAATTGTACTAGTGTAGTGGTTGGTCTAATTCTAGACTCTAATGTATTGGGTTCGAATCCTACCAGTGACAATTTTCGTAAAAAGTCCATTACTTTCTATGTCGGTTCATTACAACCGACATAAAAAGTCCATTATTCATACTTTTTCATTTGAATTTCAAGATTAAAGATTTGATATGATTTTGACAATGACAAAAATTTGCATTGTAATTGTTGGTCTTTTGTTATTCAGATTACCTGAGAAAGATCATCGTGCAGGAAAGATCTTTCAAGTCTAACAAGGTTGGAGATATTCTACCAAAATTTGTGCAAGTAAAAATATATTTGTAAGTAATTATAGATTTAGATTCTTAGTTATTTTTGAATTCTTGTTATTATTTGGTATAAATGAAATATAAAGTACAGTCTTAAAATGAATAGTAGTAATATTACATTAATTTTAAATAGTAATATTATTTGCAGGAAATTTGGTGAACTTTTCTTGCCAGGTGTTGCATCATTTCTATTTTGTAACTTTTGCTCGATGCTACCCTTCTCAAATTAATACGAACCAAATTGTTTGCTCAACAACGGAGAATGTAGTTATTTTGAATACCTAAGAACTCAACAAGGCAAGAGAACTAGGTTCTTCGTATAAATGAATCTCATGTTTCAAGACAATCTCATGTTTCTAAACATTGATAATTTCATTTCATACATTTGTGATAATTATATTCATATAATAGTATTTTACTTTGTATATGTTTTGTCTTATAATTCATAAGGATCATGTTGATGTAAAACTAAATAATTCTCTTAAAAAAATATTTCATGTTAATTTTGTTTTTAGCTTAATTTTTTAGTTGAATAAACAAACAATTTTTTTAAAATCATTTAATTATGTAATAAAATAAAATATATAATAACGATTTTTTTGTCAATTTCATATATATATATATATATATATATATATATATATATATATATATAATTTTAAATTTATACAAAATTTCTTGTAAATTTTCTTAAAAAAATAATCTCATAAGAAATTACTTGTGAATTTAAAATTAACAAGAAATTTTCTGCAAATCTAAAATTACCAATAAATTATTTGTAAATTTAAAATTAGTAAAAATTTACATGTAAATTTAAATTGGTAAAAAATCACATACAAAATTAAATAGTAAGAAATTATATGCAAATTTAAATTACAAGAAATTAGATGTAAATTTAAATATACAAAAAATTACTTACAAACTTTTTCACAAAAAAGTTTATAAATTTTTTTTGTAAATATTAAATATCTGGATAATTTATTATCCACAAACTAATTACACACTAATAAAAATTTATATAAAAATTCGTATGAAACTTATCTTTTAACAAATTTTTATAAAAATTTAGTAAAAAAATTTCATAAAAATTAAAAAAATTCTAGTAGTGACCGACTTAGTTAGCTCTCGTACTCAAATTTCATGCTAATTATTTTCTTTCTGAGTTTTGATTTTAATTTTTATAAAAATTGTTCCCATCCTATAAAATTTAAAGTTATTATTTTTAGGAGGTAAGTGATCAAATTGAGTCAAAATTTCTTTTTTTTTGTTTTTTTTATCTCGGATTATGATATATTGAGAATCACTTTTCTTAAATATTCATTCAATAATCTATTTTTAATTTTTTATATTATCATTTATCTATTTTATTTTGTTATAATTTTCATTAATTAATAAAAATAATAATATTTTAAAATTATCTATGAAATATTAAAAAAAATTGGGTGTCAAATTTTTTTTCTATATTGAATTTATACTTTTTCTATTTAAAAACTAAAAAAAAATCCAAAATAAATATTTCTAATATTTTCTAATAATCATAAAATAATAATAATAGTACTTATGTACACTGATAAATAATTTTCATATAAAATTTACAGTTGACTTAATATTTAGATATAATTTATTTATAATATCTAAGGATGATTTATATAACACTCCTTATTTTTTTTAATATAAGTTTTTTTGTCTAATTTTTCATTTATTTTTAGGTATGTATTGGTTATAAATTCTAATATGTACATTTTTTAATATATAAATTATGTATTTATCTTTAATGATTTTTATTGTAGACATAAAATAAGTTATTGTGAGAAATTTTAAATGAAAAAAATATGTTTTTAATTTAATAAAAAAATGAGAAATCTTTATATTCCACGTTTATGGTATGTTAAAACGTGTTAGGTGAACTACAATCATATTATGGTGAGTAAAATCACAATTCAATGAATTGGAAAACGATGGTGATAAAAAATAATATTTTTATTTTCACTCCTAATTTTAAATGTCTTTACATTTTGGAAGGTGGACTATTGTTCTGACAAGAGATTGACGTGAAATTAAGAGAGAAAACTGAAATAAAAATTGGTGAACGGGAACATAACCAAAAAATAGCAGACAAACTTGGAACAATTTCTAATTACATCATTAGGGTCACCATTAGCATTATCAAAGCCTAAATCAGCTTTTAGTTTCTTTTGCCTTTTCCTTTATACTTTTGGACCAGGAAAAAAAAAAAAGAAAAAAGAAAAAAGTGATATGAAATGATAAAAATGGGTTAATTTATTTTCTTTTAGTCTCATTTGTTTTTAACCAGTAAGGTAAAATCAATCTTTTCTAAATCCGACTAGTTGTTGACGAAGATATGGATTTAAAATTTAAATATTTAATCATATTTAATAAAATAATACTTTTATAATATAATAAATTTATAAAAATATATAATAAGTTATTATTATTAGTATTTTATATAAAAATAATAAAAATTAGTAATATATTATAATAAAAATTATAAATATAAAATATATTAAAAAAATATAAGATGAATAACTTGTAAAATAAAATAATTATTATTTAAATTTGACGTAATTAATATGAGATAAGAAAAAAAATTAAAATATATTATATTTTTATAAAAGAAATTATATTAAAAAAAATTTATTAAAACCTGTTCAATAAAACCTCCCTTGATTTTATCCATTTTTTTTAGTTTTATCTAAATTTAATAAAAATCTATTAATTTAAAAATAACATATTAATTTCAAGTCTTATTCCTATTTAACCGATTAAATTGTCCAATGTGATTCAATTTTCAAAATAATAAATAAAATATTAATTTATTATAAATCATAAAATCAGTTCATTAATATTTTTATATAAAAATTATATATATATATATATATATATATATATATATATATATATTTAATTACATAAATAACTTTTAAGTTTCATTTGATTAATTAATATTTTTTTAAATAAATAATTTTTTTATATTTATATATTAAAATAATTAATTAT